ACAGCGGCTAGGGTTTTACTTTTCTCTGTTCGTCGGGGTTCAGCCAGTCAGAGCCAAGGAAAATGAATGCAGCTCTAGGATTGGCTGTTTTGCGAATCCTGGCCAATAGTGAATAGTGAATCAGGCAGCATTTAGCCCAGGCCCAGATATTGGGTATCTCAGCATTCTAAGCAGTATTTCATTTAAAATATTTTACAAATTTTTTTTTAAAAATCCATGAATTAGATTTTTAAAAAATCTATTTGACAGATAAAATAGATTTTAAAAAATAATTTGGAGTTAGGTTCCACAGGAAAATTGTTGCAGCAGGTAGCGGTCCACTTTACAGTAGTTATTGTTACTATAGCAGCACAATCTGGCGGATTAAAGTACGAGTGTGCTTTCCTTTATTCGTGGTAGTCTGCTAGCAACAGGAAGAGCTTTGGTTGAAATATTGCAGAGGTGAGCTGACGTGGCTTTTCACTCATAGACATGAAAATAGTGCTGTTACATTTGATATTATTGATCCACCTGTTTATGACTTGAGTCCCAAAATGTTCTGATTAGGCAAAGTGGAAGAGGCGGGGCAGGAAAACAATGGGAGTCCTGTATGTTGCTGTGGTTTGGTGTTTCCCGTGTGTAATAGAGCTAATGGTCGTCTGCTGAACCACCTCATCACGTAGTCACTCTGGAGGCCCCAAGAGAGAGACAGATGGAGGGCAGAGGAAGGTGGTGTGCTGTGGTGGGCGTTAATGTGTCACACTGTGATGACGGCACACATTAGCTGCGCTTCATGGAGCAGGAGATGGACGAGATTGGTGGCGTAACAGGAGGATCCGTCTTCCATCAGGAGTTCTCCCTGAAGCTTGCAGCCAGGAAGTCTATAGTACTTAGTGAAGCAGCTTTCAGCTTCCATGCACCACAAATTTAGAACAAACTGCAAAACAGCTGAAACACTGAGTTCCTTTAAATCCAGACTAAAAGTCCACCTACTTTGTTACTGTTAATTATAATAAATGAAACACTGACCAACATTTTGACGTGTGACGGTTTCGGACTTGGCAAAATATAATGTTTTAGTTGTCGACCGCGTTTTCTATCACTTTGTATTTTTGTCTTTTTTATGATGCGAAGCACTTTGAACTGCCTTGTTAGAAATGTGTGACCCAAATGAGCTTGATTGACTTTGGGAAAAGCTTGTGCATAAAGAGATACACTTCCTCATTCAAATACAATCACGTTGGATCTAATCCATAGAGTTACCGTGGAACCCCAGCATTCAAGGGGGTTACTTGAGATTCCCTCTTCAAACATGTACAGTTATTTTAATAGTTCAAACACCTTAATATGCAATAATATGTACAGTGAAAATCGTCTTGGCGGTACTGCAGAAGCAAGCAGTCTTCCTTATCTCTGCTCTTGTGGGTACAGCCAATCAGGAAGCTAGAATACCAAGACATAAGCTACTTGAAATCCCATTGGTTGGTGTCCGCAAAGCCTGTACATTTATAGATTATTATCGTTAAGCTGAGACAATCTTCTTCTTTCTACATGAATTTTTGGATTGTGTGAAGTCATCAAGAAGTCACATGTGCAGACTACATTTACAATTTATTACAACATTCCAATGAAGGCAGACATATACTGTATTTCCCATCAAAAATCTACTCATAACCTTAAGGAAGTTAGCTGGACCGGACTGTATTGGACAAGCAGGACATTCAGCATCCCCCAGGGTAACACTCCATGCTTTAGGCTACAGAAAATCTCTCCGGTTTCTCCATAGGCTTTTAACCATCATTAATATCAGCAGTATTGATCGTGCTGCTCTGGCCAACAGATGGATGCAGTCTCAGGACACAGCTGGACCTGCCTTGCTGTCCTTAACAACTCGGAAATATGATAGCCTGTACATGGTAAATCTGAGCTTTTCTGGACAGTGATGACTGATGCAAAGTGCAAACTTTACGTCTGGCAACAACTGCGTTCACAATCTCAAAGCCAGGATATCGATGGCTGTTCTATAAAAACCACAAATCTATTGTTGAGCAGCGGTGCACTGATCAATGGGTAAGAGTTTGAGGCTTCAATAACACTTAGATCAAAACGTAGTCATGTGTTAGAACGTCTCAGTCCTAAAATTTGTGGCATGACTTAAAAACTGCTGCTCAGAGATTCTCTTTATTCAACCTGAAGGAGTTTGAGCTGCTTAGCAAAGAAAAACATGCAGACATTTTAGTCTCATGAGCCGATGGGGACTTTCTGCTGCAACTGCTGCATTAACGGGGCAGCATTATGTAGCTTTTCATGCACTTAGTTCCATCCTATAGCATAATCAAGAAACTATGTTACCTTCAGTTGTCGTATAAATGGAATGTATATCAAAAAAAGAAATTTGACTTTGCAATTTAATGCCTTGAAATTGGGCCTCTGTCTCTTTAAGAAGCTCCTGCTTTTTCTAGAACTCTGCCTTCATCGCAACAACCTATTCTGAGTTAATCCTTTGGCCTGTTTCAGGCTGAACTCAAACACGTTGTCTTTACATGAAGCCCTCACCGTAAACCAAAACTGGATCAGCTAATGCATAAATGTTGTGTACTGGTAGAGTTTCTCTTTAAGCTCCACCCTCAACCTCCATGATGACCCTGTTCTCCTGTCACTAAGGATCTGTCACTCATTGCTGACTTTTATGATTCCTCACAAGCCATTTATCAAGCAGGATGTCCCCACCGCTTATTATTTAAATCAAACTTTCACACATTAAACTCCACTCATAGGTACGAAGAAAAACAGAACAATAAAAAGCGTTTAACTGTTGCAGTGCCTGAGCTGGCTCTGAGTTCAACCTTTTTCAAATAATTCTTTTTGTTCCAGATTATTATTGCGAAAGGAAGAAAGGAAATAATGTAATTTCCCAGCTCATCTTTTTAAATTAAAAAGAAAAATTCTACATGAACATACGAGCCACGACTGTTGAGTATTTTGCACAAACACAGAAAATTCGAATTATGATGATTTCTGCTTGCGGTGCAGAACTGGAGAGCCCTCTTTCTTCTTACTGGTAAGACGACTCCACCCACAGCCCGGCTCCCCTGGGAGGAAGGGGAGGAGGAGTGGAGACAGCACCTGCCACCCAGCTTCTGCCTCACTTCTAGGCAGCCAAGGCCCACAAACAAAGGACGCTCACATGGGCTCTGCAGCCGGTTCAGGACCGGCTGCAGAGCCTGGTGCTGGTCTTTTCCTTCGTCGCTGTGTGCTTTTGTTCTGCCAGGCACACAAACAAACAAAAGTCAAGAAGTTAAGATCCTCGGCTCGGGTCACTGGAAGGGATCTCCTGTCGTTTTCACATCTGCAGTAACCAAATGTGATCCTGTGTTTTACAATGAACTACATTTATCAGCTGAAGGCCTAAAATTTGGTCAGAGTCCCAAACGGAAAAAGAAAGAAAATGAAAATGAGTTATAGAAACGCCTGAAGTAATAAGTCATTCTTTATTTATTTATTTTTAAAATTATAGCTTGCCGACAAGCAGCTTGATATTAGATGTGGACGAAACTGTTTGTTTACCAGTGGAAATGGAGAGAGGCTGGGACTCACAACAATCTGACAACGGGGCATGCAGGACTGACCCAGAGCCATCAGGGCATCAGGGGGCAAGAGAAGCTGCTGGGGGCCAGTCTGAGGCCCTCACACCAGGGCCCCAACTCTACCAGGCTCTACCTGCATCCTTACCCTAACCTGAATCAATCACAAACTACATGCAACTCGTGCACTAAAATGTTAGTATTTTGGGGGGTCGAATAGAGCTTAGACAGTCGTTTTCTGCGCATGCGCTCTCCGTCGGGAACATTATTTTACTTTTTTAAACGTAAAAGACTTTCACAAGTGTGTGTGAGGCGTTCAGGTGGTGTTGGAGCTCACGGTGGTCTGCAGCGCTGGTGCGTCGCCCTATATGCGCACCAGGCTGCGGGAGCTAAACCCTTACCGGAAACTGACCCGCGTAGCCTTCAGAATAAAAGCTTGAGTTTATGTTTCGGCAGTGAATATTTACAGTTAAATCTTTCTAGAGAATCAAAACTTTTTTCTTTTTATTGTGAAAAAATTGTATATTCTTTGCCAGTGATTACAGACAAATGCAAGTGAAACCTGTGTACATGCATTCATTATGAATAGGTTGAAATATTTCGAGTCTTTATTTCTTTTCATTTTTATTGGTCATAGTCAATGAAAGCCCCCTCATTCACTTTTTGCAGAAAAAATGACTGTTGTTAATTTTTGGAAAGTCATGGTGTCAGAAGCAACAGGAGCTTCACAAGGAGGAAATATCTTGTCAGATAAGTTCTCTCTCTCTGTCTCTCTCTCTCTTTTTTTTGCAAGTTAAAGTCCCAGAATCACTCCGGCTTCCTCCCACAGTCCAAAAACATGACTATCAGGTTCATTGGTCTCTCTAAATTCTCAGATTTCTCAGAAGAGTAGAGAGGCGCTGAATGAATCTCTGATGCTTGACATCCAGACTGTAGTTTCCTCAGTCAGAGACGTGAAGCCTGACCTGCCGCAGTTGGAATTAAACATACTTTAAGCCAGTTAGTTTTTTGTGTATTTATTACTAGTATTTTTTTTTATTGGTCTGATGTAATTGTTGTAATTTCAAATGTCATGTAATCCCATCACAATTAACAGAAGCAAAGACTTTAAAATCTCTGTTTAAAGCATCTCTATAATGTGTTTCCCTTGGATAAAGTTCCCATAAATCAATCATATTTTACATTCTGAGGGAGAAATAGCATTAAGGCTGTTGTTACAAATGAGGGCTGGACTGCAAAATTTTGTGCGCGACAACAGACCGGAAGTTGTTGCATTTCCGCAGACTTGACTGCAGTGACGGGACGAGAACGCGATTCAAAGAAAGGAGGGATGACACCGAGGGAAGTGACCAGACAGAGGTAGAGAGCAGCGGCGGATCTGGACTCCACTGGCGGAGACGAAGCGACTGTAGTGACGAGGACCGACCCGGGAGGAGAGGACAGCCAGCCCGGCCAGCCCTCCATCTTCCGTCGGACGGAGCTCCCTCCCTCCGCATCGCGGCTCCAAGCGGAGCATCTTGCAGAAGGTAAACAGCCCGACAGCACCGTCCCCTCCCCGGCTCGGTCCAGATCATATTCTCCTTCCTCCGGGATGCTGCTGCTTTTTGTTGTTGTTCTTACCAGGGGTTTACACAATAACACATCAGCTTCTTCTTGTGCATCGAGCAGAGCTTCCATTTCCAGCGTCCTCATAGGCTGAGGATGCCAGTCTGCTCCCTCTGCACAGACCAGGCAGATCATCATGAAGTTAACCTCACACATGATCGCTTGGTATTAGTAGTCGGGATGCATTTGGAAGCAAAGTCGTTATTATTAGTACCTCAGAGTTAAGCCTGCAGTAAGTAACGAGCTCGATCATTTACATCCTGGCGATTAATGTTTTTGAAGGTCGATGTATCGCAATTCATATTTGCAATATCTCCCATTTGCAGAGTGGAGTCTTCTGTGCAAAATTAAAAGTCATTTGTCTTCGAGAGGAGCGAATGTTCATTTACCAGAAAGAGATCGCTTTGAAAAATAGTCTCAAAGACAGCTTAATCGTGCATCGCAATGATTTCTGGGACAATTTATCGTCCATTTGAACCGATGTTATAAGGATAAATAAATAGTGAAGCTATTTGAGGGAGTACATATTGTGTTGGCTGATTCTGTTAGAGCTGAGCATAGGAAGGCTCACTGATAGAGGCCACAGGTTCTCACATGGCCCTCTGGATGTGAAACCAGTGGCAGCTGGTGAAAAAAATCTCAGTGGAGTTGATGTGCCAGTAGAGAGTTCTCTTTCCTAATCCAGAATAATTATATGACATAGATAAATTAGCTAAAAGTAAAAAGGTCTTTTCACTAACTTGCTACTTGCGAGACATTTATTCATCGAATCAGTGTCAACACTCTGAGTCAGACTCTAAACAGTGGGAAATGTCAAACTGATGTCTGATTGACATCAGTTTGACTCGAAAGAGCCAAATGTCAGCTAAAACCGATAAAACAGAACCTGCAGCTTATTGGCCATCAGTAAAAATCCTCTCCATTGTCATCCAGGATGGAGAATCCGGTCAAAGTTTCCTCTTCAAAATTCAAATAGGCCCAAAGAAGTGATGCTGATTGGCCAAATGTTTATTTATTTTTCCCCCCTTAACAACCAAACATGATTGTCTAAAGTCTGTTTGAGAAACTCCCTGTTAAATGTGTCAGTGGGGGATATAATTCAGGTTACATTTAGACATGCACTATTTAGAAAAAATTGTTTTAATTAGTACCATTTTTTTTATGTCTATGGATTTAAAAAAAAAACATTTTTTTCCCCTCTCCACAGTTAGGGTGATACCTCAGCGCCCCCTATGGGCCAACCACCACTGCACTGGAGGACCATGTACATAGAGGCTTCAACACAACACTCCTCTGTTTTAATATTATTTTATCAGTCAAACTGAAGAAGCAGTTTTTATCTCTGTGTTGCCAAATTCCACCAATGGGAAAACATGTTCAGGATTATTTAATAATACTTGTTGAATGCACTGCTGAGACAACTTTATTAACATTTCAACAGTTTGGCAATGGGTTTTATTAATACGCCCTGGCACAATGACCGACCCTTTGAGAACATTCATGATCTTAATATGGCCCAAAATGAAAACGACTTTGACTCCCCTCTGTATTTACTCCACACTAACTCTTTAGATTTTTGAGTTTTGCTCTTCAGGACAAGTTCTAGATTATATTGCTGCTGCAGAAAATGACACAAACCAAGAAATGAATGTTGCAGTTGAAGGAAGCTAAACCACTGAGTCTGTTCCAGTTGCTGGAACAGACTCAGCTGTGTTAACATTTTCCTTCCTTTCTCCTCAGTATATTTCCCCCAAAGTTTATTGAAACGTCTCGAGCGCTTGTTATTGAAGTCTTCATTGGTTCTCTGCATCTTGGCCAATAAATGCGTTTCTGATACGGCAAAACCCCCCCGATATGAATAAAGATGGCTTTAGTAGACGACCAGAGACTGCTCGAAGGTCACAGACAGTCAGGTCAGAAGTGATGATCTGTCCATTGTATGTAAATGAGAAGACCCAGAAACCACAGATCAGACACAGCCAAACAAAACTGGACGCCATCATCATCGGAGCCCCGGCAACGACCGCCCAAAAAATGTTAACAAGAAAGAAAAATCTGAATCATCAAAATGTTGGAAACATAGATACTTTATAAAACAGCTTTTATTCCTATTCAATTTTGTTTTAAGTTTCACCCTGACTTTTGTTTGACCATTTTCTGTTTCTGCTGCAGTTTTTTTTTTCAGGGTAGTTATTTCAGTGAAATATATTGAAATTGTTTGATTTATTATTTCCGGTGTTTATTTTCTCTGATTGTTCCAGCTTGGTAAGGAGCTTATAAAAAGTGTTCTCCACTCTGGATGTTTTACCAATGTGTTTGCTTTCACAATTAAATCACAGTCAAGAAAATGTAGCTTTTTTGACAAAACAAAAACATTAACCAAAAACCCAATAATGTCACAATGAAGACTGATTTCCACAAACAATGCCTATTAAGTAAAATTATTAACATAAGTGACTGCATGAATATTCACCATAATGGCTTTGCTGTTTCCAAATATGCAAGCCAGATTGGGACCTGTCCACTTTGCTGCGATTACAGTCAATGGTGCATCTACTAAATACTGACTTAAAGTGGGTGAATATTTATGCATTCATTCATTTTGTGTTAAATATTTTATTTAGTTGTCTTTATTTGTGGAGAAATCAATATTCACTTTGACAATAAAGGTTGTTTAAAAACTCTGAGTTGATTTGTGGAGTGTAGTCGGAGTTTATCAAATTTAATTTGTTTATGTTAGTTTGACATGACAACGTAATGAACTGAATATATTCACTTGAATAAACTTAATTGTATTACTTGTAACAAATGAACTCATTTTTTAAAAAGTGGATTACCTATTTGTGAAAATTGCTCTGTGTTGCCGGTGCATGTTGCAGCAACTGGGATTCCACGTTCTCAGGTTTTTATAAAAGTATATTTTTCCATCATTTCTGCTCAGGCACAAAGCGGGCAGTCCTTCCTGGAAGGGAGACATTTCTCTGCTGATTGTGACCCAGTTGGATCCAGAGGATGGACGTTTTCTTGGGTTTGCTTTTCCTCAGTTCTGCTGCTCTGAAGGCAGCTGGTAAGTTTCAATTTTCATACCTCTGAGTTGTTAGACAGATTAATGTGACAAACACACACATGAGCAGCAATGACTGATATTATCCTGAAACCCTGCTGCACCGTTTGGAGGTATTTATAGCTGTGATAATCGTAGTGACAATTAAATCATATTAGGTGAAGAGTTTCATCACTCTCCTTATTCCAAAAAATGTGAATGTTTTTATTTTAAGCAATAAAAATAGTCTTATGCCACACCATGAAACGTTGAAAATAACTTTACCTCATAACTTACTTTTACAGTAAGTCATGAGATAAAGGCAAAGGGCTCTACAGTCATATTGATACTGATGAGCTAAATGTTCCTTCCTCATTTGTTGCTAAAGTTATGCAACAAATGGAAAACTTTGCATGCATTTGCTGCATGCAAAGTTATGAAGGTAATTTTCCTCATTTATATTCAGTAATTTTTGGCTCTTATACTTGTCATTACCAGCAGCACCACTGCAAAATTTTAACAATTGTAATTTCTATTACAAAACAAGGCAAGGTTTGAGTACCTCACCGCAAAGATTAAGGGGGAAAACATCTCACTTATTCGAACTAGCTCTTTTCTTTTTTCTTTTATTTTTACGCGTTAATAGTATTGCACAACAAAGCAACATGTGGAGACGCTTCTGATCCAACCTGTCCTCCTTGAAATCTGGTTTCCGGTAGGAAACGTGTGTGTGTCGGGTCACGACAGAGGACCGGTGTTTGAAGAGCAGCCAAGCAGCTTAATTTACCCAGAGGGCTTGACTGAAGGCAAAATAACTCTGAGCTGCCAGGCCAGAGCCAGTCCACCCGCAACCTACTCGTGGGTAACACACACACACACACACACACACACACACACACACACACACACACACACACACACACAACAAACACATACACACACACACACACACACAAATTTGTGTTTCTGCCCATATTCAGACTGTTGACTTCCATTTATTTTGGGGTTCATCTCAACCGTGCATATGCACGACCAACCCATCGGCCATTTTTTTCTTACCCTAACAATACTTACTAACCCGAAAAGTACGTAATTATGGTGTGATTGAAAACATTTCAGCAAATTAATAACCTGAAAGGTTCACATTTACTTTTTTTGAGGTTTCATCCATATGACAACATTCAGTGGTTCGCAGCAGGATATTTATTGTACAAGATATTTAAAGGTATTATTTAGAATCAGTCTAACTTTTATACATCTGTAAGGAGAGCTAGTTGATGTCAGAGAGCAGCTGCGTTTCCTTTACAAATGTGTGCAAAACCATTCAGCTCATATAACAAAACACAATCTCAAAACAATTGGTCAACAGACACGCAGCTAGTAAAGCACACTGCCAGTTTAAATCCTGGAGAAGAAGTTGACCAGTGGCCCATATAAAGTAAATCACGTGAAATCTGTTTTTTCTGTACGGTTTGTTTTTATTCCGTTGACTCTGACCCTGCAGGTGGAAACTGAACGGCACAGTCCTGGAGCTGGGCTTGAGCCGGTACACGTTGGTGGCTGGCAGCCTGGTGATCAGCAGCCCGGACAGTTCCCATGATACCGGATCGTACCAGTGTCTGGCTAAGAACCCGTGTGGGACTATCATCAGCCGAGTTGCTAACCTCAAGTTCGGCTGTGAGTCAGGCCTGTGTGGATGAGTTGCTCTTTGTTTAATTTAGCACCAAATCTTCACGGTTTTAAAACATTAGTCCTCCTTTAAGCCCTCTGTGTGTCAGGAGTCTTTGGTGTTTGATATTTTCTCCTTAATCTCTGCGCTTTCATCTTTCTTCAGATCTTCATGACTTCTCTCCTGACAGCAGGACTTCACAGACCGTGTATGAGGGCGCCGGCACTGTGCTTGCCTGTCAGCCGCCCCCACATTACCCAGGTAGCACCTCTGCTGCAACGCTTCAGCATAATGCTGCCAACACTCACACTGGTCCAGCATGTAATGCTAATGTGACCTTTTATAAATTACACTGTAATAAAGTGTCTGTTGGAATATACAATAAACTGGACATGATCCCTGTTTTTGTAAAATTTCATATATATTTTTTACTTTCCTAGTCTTATTGTTTGTGTGTGTGTGTGTGAGACGTAAATCACCATCTGCAAAGCACCCTTTGACCCTTGCAAGTCATCGGAAAGCGACTGTACTAGAACAAAGTCACGTTTTTAAGTTCTAGCATAAGAATACATTTTGAAGTTATTTTTATTGGAACTATAAACGAGTAAATTAGATGTATGTGTCTGAAAAATGAGTTGTAGGTTAAAGCTGTTGGGTAAAAACCTTAAAATTCTTTGGAATAAGAGCAAGTAACACCTGAAACGCCCTTAACACGCAACTCTCTGTAACCATAACATGATCAGCGTAATTCCTGATTGCGATTTGTCTTCTGCAGCTCTGTCCTACCGCTGGTACTTCAACGAGTTTCCCAACTTCATCAGAAAGGACGACAGCCGCTGGTTTGTGTCGCAGGTCACTGGGAACCTCCACTTGGCCAAAGCAGAGTTAAACGACACTGGGAACTACTTCTGCTTCACTACCATCAATCTGGACATCAGCACCAAAAGCACTTTTAGCAAAGGCAGCCTGCTCACTGTAATGCCGGACGGTAAGATCACCGGATGTCTAGTGTGGTGGAATAATTATGTATTTTTTATTTTTTTTCAGTTTTAGGATTGATGTATCAGATGTATGTATCAAGTGTGTATGCGTGTGTGTGTGTGTGCAACACAACCAGCCACTTTGTCCTGTGAAGCTGATCACCTGACATAAAAAGACATATTTTCAACAGTCATGTAACCGTGTGTTGAAATTTGACAAAAGTTGCATTAAGAGTCCAGCGTAACTTACAAGATCAGTGAACAGACTGGACTGGTTGAAAATTCAACACACACACACACACACACACACACCCACACACACACACACACACACACACACACACACACACACACACACACACACACACACACACACACACACCCACACACACCCACACACACACACACACACACACACACACACACACACACACACACACACAACGCACACACGCACACACACCCCCACACACACACACACCCACACACACCACACACACACACACACACACACACACACACACACACACACACACGCACACACACCCCCACACACACACACACACGCGCACACCCAGACACACACACACACACTACAAGAAAGGATTCAGTATCAAAACGCCCCACTTGGTCTGAAAGATTTTTGAGTGACAGAACTTTTATTTCGAATCCAGTTTGATGATGAGGTTTTGATATTTGCCACTTTTCCACGACCAAAATATCGGCGTCCAAAGTGGAGCCTGGAAGTTTGGTTCTGAGAAATCAGACAGCAGAACATCTTTGTCTCAGTTCTGTGAAGGTTTGTCAGTATAACGAACATTTATGACTCTTCAAATCCTACAGAACTTTATTGTGACTGACATTTTCATGTCCGTTCATATTTGTAATGATTTTAAAGAACTTTATTATTCATGTGATAAGATCAGAATTTTGATCATTTTTCGACGTCGAAGCCCAAACTCATCCTGCACCATGAAACGATCTGTTTCGCTTTTCTTCTTCAGCCAATCCCAGGAGGTCAGCACCAAGCATCAGACTGCGCTTCCCAGCGGAGACGTACGCCCTCACTGGACACGCCGCCCAACTGGAATGCTTTGCGAACGGAAAGTAAGTTTTCAACAAGAAACTAGAGAATATCCTAGGAAAACTTTCATGGAGACATTTTAACTCACATTTCCACTAAACTCACTTCAAACTTTATTTATAGAGCGAAACAGAACTTGATCAAAGGGTTGATAAAAGCAAAGAGTCTGCAAAAATACACGACTTACTCAAAACCTGGTACAATATTATTCTCTTTTTTGGGAAGCCTAGTTTATACGCTGTACATGGAACAAGAATTTATATATATGCTTTGTATATTTTTAAAATGAAAATACATTTATTCTCAAAATTTCTGTAACTTTATATGCCAACACTACTGGTTTATATATCATGTCAGTGCAAGTTACTAAAATTATAAGAAAGGAACTCTTTTTATGGTAATTACACTAATAAATTTCAATTAAGAAAGAAGAAAGAAGGGAAAGGAAGAAATAAAATTTGGAATTTCTAAATTCTAAAAGAGATTGAAAGTAAGCACTCAGATTTTATTTAACACATTAAACATTTAACTTAGAAACAATGAAACTGGAGCTTGTTTTTATTTAAGGTTGCTTAGATTATTGCAGCAGTGGTCAAATAAAATAAAATCAGGCAGCAGCGCCTCATCAAAAATGTGATAAAATGGATTTTAGCTAAAATTTTTATATATAGAAAGACATATGCGCAACACATAGGACCTCTGTTTATATAAATATGCATTTTTTTTATTCAGAAAAAAAAAATAAATGTAGAGAATTACTTTGTTCACAAGGAGTAGCATTTGTGAATTCAGTTCAGTTCAGCTTCACAAAGTTCCTGGATAATAAGCTTCAGACATTCATCAAAATCAGTGTTTTAATCCAGACTCATTTGCCGTCGCTCCAGTGACTGAACAGTCATACGTGACTCACTGATTTGTTGTTGTTCTGACTGCAGATGAGTCTAAATGCTTTTGTATTTTTCAGTCCAGTCCCAAAGCTTCGGTGGAGGAAGGTTGATGGTTTAATGCCGTCCAAAGCAGGCTCCTCTACACAGAGTCACACCCTCGTCCTACCCGATCTCTCTTTTGATGACGAGGGAATATATGAGTGTGAAGCCTACAGCTCAGAAGGACGTGACACATACCAGGGACGCATCATTGTGCAAGGTACCACACAGAGCAGATTGTAGTGAAGCATGTCATTCATCTGGGATGTCTTGTCTTTGTTTGACCAGCCTCTCTCTGTCTCTCTCTCTCTCTCTGTCTCTGTCTCTCTCTCTCTCTCTGTCTCTCTCTCTCTCTGTCTCTCTCTCTCTCTCTCTGTCTCTGTCTCTCTTCTCTGTCTCTCTCTCTCTTTCTCTGTCTCTCTCTCTCTTTCTCTGTCTCTCTCTCTCTTTCTGTCTGTCTCTCTCTCTGTCTCTGTCTCTCTCTCTCTGTCTCTCTCTCTCTCTGTCTCTCTCTCTCTTTCTGTCTGTCTCTCTCTCTCTCTTGTCTCTCTCTCTCTCTGTCTCTCTCTCTCTCTCTCTCTCTGTCTCTCTCTCTCTCTCTCTCTCTCTCTCTCTGTCTCTCTCTCTCTCTGTCTCTGTCTCTCTCTCTCTGTCTCTCTCTCTCTGTCTCTGTCTCTCTCTCTCTGTCTCTCTCTCTCTCTGTCTCTCTCTCTCTCTCTCTGTCTCTGTCTCTCTCTCTCTGTCTCTCTCTCTCTTTCTGTCTGTCTCTCTCTCTCTGTCTCTCTCTCTCTCTGTCTCTGTCTCTCTCTCTGTCTCTCTCTCTCTCTGTCTCTCTCTCTCTGTCTCTGTCTCTCTCTCTCTCTCTGTCTCTCTCTCTTTCTGTCTGTCTCTCTCTCTCTCTCTCTGCCTCTCTCTCTCTCTCTCTGTCTCTCTCTCCGGTTCATTCCTGCAGCCCAGCCGGAGTGGTTGCAGGTGATGAGCGACTCGGAGGTGGAGATCAGCTCAGAACTTCACTGGAGCTGCTTAGCTGCTGGGAAACCTCGACCCGCTGTCCGCTGGATACGCAACGGATTGTTTCTCACTACACAGGTAACACGCAGGACCTCTGCTGATCATATCTGCACCTGTAGATATCCTGCTTCAGATATTTTGTTTCTGAACTCATAAAGTCCTGACTTTACATCATACTTCCCTGGTGAAATTCTAGTTTTAACTCATTTACAGTTACATTTAGGATCGATTGATGTGAGCTTGTTGGTTTTCATCCATAACTAAATTAGCTCTTGCTTGGTCGCTTCGCTGTTCAATTGAAGACAGTACTGACAATTACGTCACCCTTTCCCTCACGTCACTTGGTTCATGCTTCTTGTCGTAACAAAGGAGCGGGTGACGGTGAACGGAGCGCATCTGAAAATCAGCAACCTGGCACTGGAGGATTCAGGGATGTACCAGTGTGTGGCTGAGAACAAACACGGCACTATTTATTCATCTGCGGAGCTGAGGGTCCAAGGTAAGAGACAGATGTTTAAAAATGCTTGTGTTAGGCCTTTAAACACCATGTGAACTCTCTCTCTCTCTGTGAGTCGCAGAACTGTGGACTCAGTGGTTTCTTTAAAAAAAAAAAAAAGCAGCTCTTTGTAAAATGGGGTAATGCTCTTGTGCTTTCGTTTGTTACTCTACAGTTTTATTTTGACAATGAAATACTTTCAGCCTTACAACATTAAACCCACTTCTGTTGCTTTTTTTCTTTCATTTGCTCCTAATAATTTTTGTGCACCACTGCTTTATATAATTTTAGAACTGACTGTGAATTATCATTTTTTTGAAGGAGTTGCATAAATAAAATGTTCTTACACACTCAATGACGCTGCATTCTGACTTCCCGTGTCCCTGTTCCAGTCCAGGCTCCGGATTTCCGGCTCAATCCGGTGAGGAAGCTGATCCCGGCGGCCAGAGGCGGCCAGGTGGTGATCGAGTGTCGCCCTCGCGCGGCGCCAAAGCCCATCCTGTTCTGGAGCCGTGGGACGGAACTTCTGACCAACAGCAGCAGGTACCAGACTGCAGCAGAAACAGAAAAACATGCATTTTTGCTTTCAGGCAGAAGAAAGACAAACATTTCTGAGATTTTATTATTTTTTTTCCTTGTCAGATATTAAATTTTTTTTACCGATAAACAGATTATATAAAAATAAGGCAGAAAATTGTGTTGAGATCTGTTAGCAGGGCTCTGGTAAGCCGGCTGCATGCTTTGTTTTTGTTTTACGCCTCACGTTTGTCTCCTGCCAGAATCGCAGTGACTCCAGACGGCACGCTGTGGATCTACAACATCAGCCGAGCAGATGAAGGAAAATACACCTGCTTTGCTGAGAACTACCTGGGCAAAGCCAACAGCACCGGACACCTGTCTGTCAGAGGTGAACTGTGGCTTCACATCTCAGTGAAACCTAACACTGCACTCTCTGCACTCTGACTGGGCCCCCGATGCCACTTGAAGTTCATCCAATTTGTTTGCCGCAGATCTAATGTTGCCTGTTATCATTGATGGATTGGAAGAGATGGTTTGAACTCTGCTGCTAATCTATGTGAGCTTTTGAGATGCTGATCAGTCGCTTCCTGTTGCGTAAGAAACAGGAAGAAACACAAACACACTTGGTTGCTGTTGTCAACAGATCATGACAACTTCATTTGTGATCTGTGACCAAATGTTGACCAAACATTTCAGCACCAGCTTCATCCGACCACAAACCTCTCCTCAGAAAATGTTGTAGCTTTTTTCCTATGTGGATTTATTCAATCTGTAATCTGGCTCATCCATCATTTACATAAACCTAAACGATTTTATTATTTTGCAGATTAAAATGTCAACCAGGTTTGGTTTAATAGTTGTTGCTATGCTGCTTTTCTTACTGCATTGCCGTCTGTCCCAGCTCTCGCTCTCAGGAACGAGAAGACAACTAAAGATCCCTGAAGAGAGAATCTCTACCGAATCAAATATATATATATCTGATTCATGTGTTTGCCATTCCGGCTCAACATTATCTCTTAATATTTACATACATGTATTTAACTCGCAGATGCCACCAAAATCACACTGGCTCCCTCCAACGCTGACGTCAACCAGGGGGAGAACGTGACGCTGCAGTGCCACGCCTCCCACGACCCCACCATGGACTTGACCTTCACCTGGGCCCTCAACGGGGCTCCGCTGGACCTGGAGAACTCGGCGGGGCCGTACCAGCGGGTGGAGGCGGTGAGCGTCGTGACGTTTCCGTCTGCTGTGGGATCTCATTCTTTTACATACATATTTTGTCTGCTGCTGATTTCTGTTATATCACACCTGGAATTCACAGCACAGTCAGTGCTTTCATCGCTGCTCTGTTTTCAAGTGTGGCCCTTCTGTGAATAAGAATAAAATTACACAATTCATCACACAGAGGCTTCAGCTGCATGTGACTAAAATAGAATGCTATTTTAGCTATTCTGGTGACTTCACAGCAAAGGACCTTCACAGGAGATTCTGCATCTGATTAGTTTCTTATTTCATTCATTTGTACTGAAATGTTTTTAATGTACTCTTGCAGGCGGATGCGCCACTAGCTGTGTTTTCTGCTACATATGTGCGCAAAACATTTCTGATGTATTCCGCTGATGTCGAATCGCCCCCGTCCCTCTAGGATTCTGCAACTGCGGAGCTGCGCAGTGACAATCACGCGCCACTGACCTCCTTCAAGCAATAAGTCATTCAAAACATATCATCCGTGCTCCAGCTACTTCCTGTCTTGTTCTTTGTCTTTTCCGCCGGTAGTAATCGGCGGGCTGTTGATCACGTGACTCATGTGACGCGATACAAATGAAAAACCACCTTGTTCTAGTGGCAAATATTCGACAGAAAAACAAAAAACAAGGTGTTGTTTTTTCCGAAATTGCCGTATTTCCATGAAGCAAATGTATTTTTCCAATTTGCACAATTCTACGGTTCATGGAAACGCCGCCAGTGACTGGGCAGAGCAGAACCTAACTCCTGCTGTGCTCCGTCTGTCTCTGTCCTTTCAGAAGGAAAACATCGGCGACCTGCTGATTGTGAACGCTCAGCTGAGTCAGGCCGGGATATTTACCTGCACAGCTCAGACTGTGGTGGACAGCGCGTCTTCTTCTGCGAAACTGGTTGTGCGAGGTGAGTGACGTCACAGCTTCTGACAACCTGCTTTGTTTTTAGATAGAAAATATATATATATCTGATTCATGTGAATACTGTGGACACAATGCGCTGTTTTGGTTCCCAGGACCCCCAGGACCACCCGGTGGTCTTCTGGTGAAGAACGTGGCCGAGATGTCAGTGGACCTCAAGTGGAGCCGCGGCTACGACAACCATAGTCCCATCGGCAAATACGTCATCATGGGTCGATCGTATCTCTCGTCAGAGTGGAGGCAGATGATGACAGGTGTGTGATGACGTGGCGCGTGGTCCAACGGGCAAAATGTCATCATGTGCAAAATCACTTTTTGAGCCAGGAAGTGAGAGAGACTCATTTTTCAGAGGTTCGTTGAGTGATTTATCGTCCTCTCACATTCAACAGAACCTCTCCACGGCTACAATGTAGCGCCAAGGGACTTTAGTTCCATAAACTATAGTACATATGAATAAAAAGCAAAGCTTTAGCTTCCAAACTCCAGTTAACCATCACCCTTAAACATCTACAGTGTGAATAGTGAACGTTCAGTGAAATACCATTCTTATGTGCAAACTATTACTTCGCACAATAGAGTGGAAGTGAGAAGGTAACAAGTAATGAGCCACATCATTTAATTTAAAGACATGAACGTAGAAAATGTCGCAACACTTAACACATTAACATTTTAGTCAAAGGTGACGGCACGGAGGTACAGAACCGATCCATATGGCTAACGAAAACACCACACACATTAAGCGAACCGTTGTGGTTCAACAGAACGTTCGTTTTACAAGATGTTTAAAAAGTGTTTTTTTTTTGTGTAAAACGCAAACATTATGTTTAAAAGTAAGAATATTGCGTTGATGTTTTTAAAAGGACATGCTCCTTTTAAAAATATGCAAGAAAACATATGCCACATAAAAAAAACAAAACAAAAAACCTTTGAACAGTAAAAACTTGAGCGGACTTCCTAATGTTCTGAAACTTTGTTCATTTTCATTTCCTCCATCTATGCCGGACATTTCCAGTGAAGGAACGACTGACTGACTGTCTGTTGTTATTTTTAGCCTTTGCGTCATCAGCACATTGCAATAAAATGTATTTTCCACTGATGTTTTTTTTTTCATCAGTATTATTGCAAATTATACGATACGGCCCAGCAGCCATGCATCTGCCGTTCAGACAGGGTGAAACATACAAAGTGATGTGTGGTGCAGCTACGTTCTTCGCTGTTATTTAATGAGAGTCCAAATGCAATCTATTGTTCTTTAAAACAACAAAATCTTTCTTTCCGTGTTGCACCTTGTCATTCGAAATACGCCATAAAGGAAATAAACCCTTTAATGTTCACACCAGAACCAGCAAACATAGAGGGGAATGCAGAGTCGGCGCGGGTGACCGGATTGATTCCATGGATGGATTATGAATTCCAGGTCATCGCCAGCAACATCCTGGGCAGCGGAGAGCCCAGCCGTCCCATGTCATCCGCACAAAGCAAGCAGGTAACGTCCCAAAAAGAGACCTCAGTCTCACACAGGCGCCCCGGCAACCGATTCAATGGAGTCATTTCTTCCTGTAAGTGAAATTCTCTAGAGCTGCCGAACCAAACCCTTGAAAAATGATTGAACTTAATAAATAACTGATACAGACTCAACAGTCGTGTTTGTGTTTTAGGGTTTTAAACCCATAGAAAGCTAACTAATTAGAGTTGCTCACCCAGAGCTGGTGAGGAAATAAATGAACAGACCTCTGACGACCAGAACTGTGCAGTTCTTAACTTCTGCAAATGTCAGGAAATATTTTGTTTCCAAGGCTACTTCTCCCTTAAATGCTTTAACTACTATATTTCCCAGACAGATTGGACTTTTTAAGCTTCTCCACCTCGAGGTTTCACACCTTGTGTTCTGTGTTTTCATGTTTGGATCACAGCACCTACGGTGGCCCCGAGTGGTCTCGGTGGAGGGGGAGGAAACCGCAATGAACTGATTATTACCTGGACGGTGAGTAGCTGGTCTTCAGCCTTTGTGTTGTCCATGATTATACACTGTCTTATTATTCATGTGACATTCACAGTCGCGTGCTGCTCTGCAACAAAACCAAGTTTTATGACGATACTTTTCTTCCCCCCTTCCATAGAGGATTTACTGGTAATATTTGAGGGAACCGGGTGGCACAGGCGCAAAGAGGGGCTTTGTAATTACAATTTGTCACATTAAAAAAGATAGTATGGGCCACATTGTGTGGGTTTGCATGAGGCCAGATGGTTCTGGTGTGGCATATCTCTTATATCCCAGCACTGACGCTTTGCCCTTCTTGTTCTTGCTTTGTCCTGAATCGTCCAGCCCATGGCCAGGGAGTACCAGAACGGGGACGGCTTTGGCTACATTCTGGCCTTCAGGAAGAAAGACACGCCGCTGTGGTCGGAGGTGCAGATCCCGCATGTCGAGTCCTCGCGCTACGTCTTCTACAACGAAAGCCTGACACCCTACACTCCTTTTGAAGTAAAGATCAAAGCGTATAACCGCAGAGGCGAAGGTCCGTTCAGCCAGCTCTCAGACGTCTACTCCGCAGAGGAAGGTGAGACTTTCACTTCGCTCCAGTTCAGCTCAGCTTTGAACTCTCACCGATCATATTCTCATGAATTCTTGCACTGTTTGATCATTTGAGATGTAATTGAAAGTGTGATTAAATGCATTCAAAGTTGGGCTCTAAATATATGCAGTGAGATCATTTTGGAGGGGAGGGAACATTCACACACGTATTGTCAAAGGACCATAAATGGCTCACACTTTTTACATCCCTGCCATAGACGCTCACAGAAAATCCCCACTGCAAGACCAACTGTTTGAAATAGTTTGACATTGTCATGTTCTCTTCCACCACTAGAGAGCAGCAACAGCCTTGGCACAACTGTGAAATATTTACATGTTGTGTCAGTTTGTACATAAAAATAAGATCTTTATTCATCCAGAAGAAAGTTCTTTTCTTAACTGTGGCAAAAGGAGAGTGATGGATAAGGAGTTGTAACATAAAGCAGCATTTAAAATTACACAACTAGACAATATAAACATAAAAGAACCCAATAAACTAGTTATCACTTGTTATCTGAGGAGATGACGGTGTCTGGTCTCTGGATTTCCTGCAGCAGACTCAGGAGTACAAGCCTGTTACAAACCTTTAGGAATTGATAACAAAATTAAGTTTGCAGATTGATTTGATCTTTGTCTGCAAACTGTCAATTTATTAAAAAAATAGAGTATTGTCTAGTCAAACTCCCAGATTTAGACATTCAGGAACCTTTTTTAAATGAGTCCCATTAAGGGAATGGAGAGTTGATTGTAAACGGCATTTTTTTGTTTTGTTTTGACCAAACTACATGACTTTAGTCTTAAAGGTATTTATCTGAAGATTTCAAAAGGATTGTACTGAGACTAAGTTGAGGTTGTTGGAAAACACAAGTAGAGAATTGTGTCATCAACATAGAGCTGTATGCTTGAAACCACACCAGATTCAGCTGCTTTACTAGTAAAGTGGACAGAATGGTCCACTTTGACCCCTGTGGGACATTAGTTGGTGTATTATAATTTAGTTTGCTTCATGATGTTTGTCGCCCCTCCGTAGAGCCAACTGTGAGACCTTCAGGCATCAACGCCACTGCACTGTCAGCCTTTGAGATCCAGGTGTCATGGGAACCCATCCAGCCGCTGAGCAACGGCATCCTAAGAGGATATGAGGTCAGCAGCTTCACTCACACTAACGTGGCTGAAAATCAAACGCTTTGGTCATTTTTGTGTGTCTTCATGGGGAAACCAACCCCCAAAGCATAGCAACCTGTACCAAATAGCTGAAGTGGTTTAAAGGTTAACAAGTTGCCCAATCAGGGCAGCATCGGAGAACCAAGGTGCATTTGGTAACCAAATACATGCATTTGTTTCAGTTTCTGTTAATCTGGTGTCATTTCTATGAAAGGAAAGTTGTTTGATGACTAGTGGATAGTAAATCACTATCTGTTCTCTCAGACAGCATTTTCATTGCTGCTTATGCATATAGATTGCTTTGACCTATTGCAAAAGGTGGACTGATTATTTATTACTCCAAGTTGCCATAATCCAGGCTCACATTATCAGCTGTTCTGGTTCCGGTCCAGTTCAGAGCAAAGGCAATTTTGTTTTTATTAGTGACAGGAAAGCTGATGTCAGCAGCTGATTACTGCTTGATAAAATTATGCCAGTCAGTCTTTATTTTCCTATTTGTCAACCTGAGCTGGTTGTGACGTGCGCACTGCAAAAGCACAAAATTTCACCCAGCATTTCTGGTCGAGTGTCTCGTGCAAATATCTCAGTCCACCTTAAATTAGACGAAACTAACTTACCAGTAACTTTTCAGGGAGATATAGAAGCTTGTTTAAAGTAAGTATTTTTTTCAATATTGATGAAGTATTTGTTCCATTAGCAGATTATTCAACTTGAGACACTGAAAAAGATTCTTATTAGTGAAATAATTTGCCATTGGAAGTAGAAGGTTTTCATCACTATGAAGGCATCATTTACTTCAGTAAATGATGCCTGAAGCTCCTCCATCTTACTGGAAAATGACTTTTGAGTTAGTTTTGTTTTATTTCAACTGTATTAAAATATTTGCGCTGGAATCTAGACCAAAATACTGAAAAAGATGTGTTTTTGCAGTGCGAAGCCTGGAAAACCAAAACTACGAATGAAGGGGCAGAGGAAACCTAAGTGTCTGGGTTCTGTGTTTGTTCTCAGATCCGATACTGGAGGCAGCACGAGAGAGAGGCGGCTGCGGACCGGGTGAGGACGGCCGGGCTGCAGCCGACGGCCCGGGTGTCCGGCCTTCGACCGAGCACGCGGTACAACGTGGCCGTTCTGGCGTATAACAGCGCCGGCACGGGGCCTCCGTCGCCCCGCACCGCCGTCACCACCAGGAAACCACGTACGGCCGCAGTTCTCCCTGCCAACACACGCATTCCAGTCCAACACCATTCAGTCACAAAATGACTTTTCCAAAGTCCAGCATCCAGTAACTCTGTTTGCTTTAGTACTTCAGCTTCCTGCTTCCTGTTAGTTTTTTATTTTTTTTATCTTTTTTACTAGAGCCAAACAAACAAATAACAATACATAATTCTTACTGTACATATTGCACATAGAAAATCAGAAATACAATGCATCAGTTTCAGCCCTTGGTTGCTTTTTCAACAAAATGAAATTTTTTTAATTGAAAATGAAACCAGAGACCAATTCCATCAAAGCCAGCCAAAAAAATAAACAACAAAAAAACAAAACAACTTTTTTTGTGTATGTTTCTTTGAGCATTGAAAAGACAAAGCAATTACAATTAGTAACAAAAATTGTATAGAAGTATAAAACTACTTGTGATGACAGTCTGGATGTTTCCTTGTCACCTGTTGTCATGGCAATTCTACACTTTAGCTGTATATATATAATATCTTATGAGTATATGATATATATAAAGTTGCTCATAGCACTGAAACAGCTTTGCTTCGAGTTTATAATGACCTTCTTTTAACAGTTGATTCAGGCAATGTTGCGGTTTTATTACTTTTAGATCTGAGCGCTGCATTTGACACTGTTGATCATCAGATTCTTTTAAACAAATTAAAACATTGTGTTGGCCTGAGAGGCCCAGTATTTGAATGGTTCAAATCTTATTTAGAAAACAGAACTTTCACAGTTAATCTTGACCAATGCTATTCTGGGGCCAAACATTTAAAGTATGGCGTCCCCCAAGGCTCAATTTTAGGTCCCATTTTGTTCATTTTATATTTATTACCTCTAGGTCAGATTTTTCATAAATTTAATGTTTCCTTTCATTGCTTTGCAGATGACGTCCAGATTTATATGCCCCTTAAACTAAAAAATGGAAATAATGAATCTCTTCAGCTATTGACAGATTGTTTGGCTTAAGTTAAATCTTGGATGGAACAAAACTTTCTTCACCTAAACCAAAGAAAAACTCAAGTTATATTATTTGGCCAAAGTCTTTACACTACAAAACCAGATCAGATTCTGGGTTCATTGGCTCAATTTTGTGAGACCTCAGTTAGGAATCTTGGCTTTACTTTTGATAGCTGTTTAAAGTTCGATAAACAAGTTAGTTTTGTCGTTAAATCGAGTTTTTATCACCTACGGATTTTAGCAAAAATCAAATCTTATTTTTGTTTTAAGGACTTTGAAGGACTTATCCATGCAGACATTACAACTCGTTTGGATTATTGTAATTCTTTATATAGTGGCATGGTTAAATCACAGATTCATCGACTTCAAATGATCCAGAACGCAGCGGCACGGCTTCTTACAGGAACTAGGAAGCATGACCATATAAGGCCTAAGCTGGTCAATTTACACTGGCTTCCTGTTATGTATAGAATAGATTTTAAGATTCTTTTATTAACTTATAAAGTTTTAAATGGGTTAGCTCCCCCTTATCTTCAGGATCTTTTAAAACTTCAGTCTGTGTCCAGAACCCTCAGATCAAACAGTCAGCTATTACTTACAGTCCCTCGGACCGACTAAGGAAAGGAGATCTGGCTTTTTATGTTGTTGCTCCTAATTTATGGAACAATTTGCCTTTTCAGAATAGATCTGCTAGCAGCCTGGATCATTTTAAATCGCTTCTCAAAACTAATTTTTATTCGTTGGCTTTTAACTGAAGCAATTTTTTGATATTCTGTTTTATCTACTTGTGTTACTGTTGTTCCTGTGCAGCACTTTGGTGCAGTTTTATACCTGTTTTAAAGTGCTATATAAATAAATTTGAAATTGACATTGACATATATATCATATGTGTATATGTATATATATGTATGTTATGAATGAATGCAGACCAAATGGCATCTGATCCTCTGAATCTGAATCTCTGAGCAAATGCAGCCCAACATGTTTCTTTTTCTCAACTTTGTCGACTCTTATCAGAAAACTGGATCCTTTCTGCCATTTTCCAAACCTGCCTTAGTTCATTTTAGTATTTTATAAATAATATTTTTAATGCTCGTCCTTCAATTTCAGCTCCCAATCGTCCTCCGGGCAACGTGTCGACTGAAACCAAAGGCTCTGAAGTAACGCTGAGGTGGAGTCAAGTGACAGCGATGCACAACGAGTCAGCCGTGTTGGGCTATAAGGTCAGTTCTCTGAACACAGGAAGCCTAACCGGTCAGCACTGACCTCAGCTGCAGCTCAAAACAACAACAGGGCAAAGGAATTTCTTCCTTTTTGGTTACTTTCACTTTTATGCAAATCTTCTGTTTCTGGAACGAAAGTGAATCTTTATTTCTGGAGACTTAAGGACGCATTCATGTTGCAGATCCCGCCTCACTGTTTCCCTATGAGACCTAATGTTTTAGGGTTTATTAACTTTTCTTAAGAGCTGCTTGCGTTGATATTTTTCAGATTCTGTACAGACATGAAGACCAGACTGTGATGAAGTTTGTGGACAAGTCGAAGACGTCAGTGACTCTGCCGCTAACTAAAGACTACGGCTACGCGCTGCTGGAGATCCGGACGTGGGGCGAGGGCGGAGACGGGCCGTCTCATGAGGTCATCGTGTCCCAGGACTCTGGTAAGACGTGACGGCCTGAGTCACGTCTTTCACTATTGAGAAGTGAAATGAGATTATTAGAGGAAGCAGAAGTTGCCATGGAGACACACTCTTCTTTTTCCGTTTCAAACTGTTTTTCATCCATCCATTTTATAACACCTTCTTCTTCTTTTTTTCCCCTTTTTATACCATATCTGTATATTACAGATGTATATATATATATATATATATATATATATATATATATATATATATATATATACAGTATATACAGGTATATACAGTATTCCATCTGTAACACTCCACTTGTGAAAGTGTTACAAAAAAAACCCCAATCAACTTAAGAACAGTTGACTATGTACACACTCTGACCTACACTGAGCCGTGCTGCTCTCTCTCTCCATTTCACAGGAACCGGAATGATGGTGCAGAAGGACGCCTCCTCCGCCCTGACCAGCTCCCTCCTCCACATGGCCACCGGCTCGGTCCTCTTGGCCCTCAGCCTCCTGTGATCTTGTCTGTTACTGTTAGTGAAGCGAAGGCTCCAGATGGATGTTACATTTCATTCCTAATAATCACAGTTTAACATCTCAATGCAGTGGAGGGAACCAGAACCTACAACTCTGGGTTCTTTATGAACATAAGCTCTTAAGGTACAAACAGAACCGAGTGAGTGGATGGTTAGCATTGTTAGCTTCGAGATGTGTGATCTGAAATTCACTCTAAGAGCAGCTATCGACATCGTTTAATTTGGCTTTCATCTGCTGCAGTTGTTTTCTGCATGTCAGGTCTCATTGTCTTCCCGTTATCCTGGACGTGCATGAAGCAGCGTAACCCGACGGAATGAAGGCTGCATGTTGTTCCCTCCATCCCCTCAACTCCATCTTTAGAGAGGAGGGTCTTAATTGTTTCTGCAAAACCAGGGACTAAGCACATGCTTTAAACTGGTTAAAGTTGAGTTGAAGCTTTTAACTTTGAAATATTTTTATTTATTATTTTTTTAACTTTTTGCCCTAATAAGCATGGCATTCTGGGATTAATATAGTTTCATCCTGCATTCACGGATATTTTAGGGAGGATGATTAGGGTGGGGTGGTCGACTTCATTCTGAAACCAAGGAAATCAGAGTTTTGTACTCTGATGAAAAAGAAAAGAGTTTTGTCTGACAAACCACTGTAGCTGCCAGGTTAGTGCCTCAGCACTGCAGAAGAAAATGATTTGTTTCTGTTGCGCTCGTATTTCAGATAAACTCACAATAGCAAGTGTTAAATACAGAACATAGGCTTTTACCTTTAAGTTAAAATAAAAAAAAAGTTGACATTGTCAAAACAACAACTTATGTTTCCGCTATGGTAGATTAGAAATAGAAATGTCCTTTCTGCCATTTGCTCTGACCGCAACAGTCGGACGGACCTTTAAGCTGACTGGCTGTGTTTGTGTTTAGTGTCTCAGACAGCAGAGCACGTCCACTCTCTTTATCATTGATAGAATTGTGCCTGCAGTGTAAAAAAAACGTTCATGTTTGATGTGTTTATTGCCAATCATTTTCTGCTGATAAGGCTAATCAGAGGAAGGGATGAAAGAGTTGTCAGGACTACTGAGCTGTGGTCAGGCCACCGGCGCTGACGCAACACGTCTGATCCTCTGCAGTTCCCAGAACCCACCGGAACAGTCGCCGCCTTCTGTTCCTGAAGGTTCTTGCTGTTATTTTTATTTATTTATTGCCTTATTTATTTGAATGTGTTGATTTTTATTTACGGTATATATTTCTTGTTTTTCTGGAAACTCTTTTTTTTTTTTTTGCGCAATTTCTCTTTTTTGTGGGGGCAAAGTGTTTGCACTATCTTTCATTTGTTATGCTGGATTTAGTTCAGGGGTGTCCAAAGTGTGGCTGGGGGGCCATTTGTGCCCCCTGCAGACCCCAAAATTTAAAATTGTCTGTTCTTCTTAGGTAACAGTCCAAAGTCCTTTTTATGTTTCAGATCTTCAAGTACGTTCATATTTCACAAAATTTGTTCATTGTTGAAAAGGTGAAAGAATAGACAAAAAATCCCAATAAACTTTTTTTATTTCTTTTTTTATTTCATGAATTTTGTGACTCATCAGTACTTTAAATTGACCATTTTGGACACAACTTGATTTACTTGAATTTCCCAGAGTTGCTGTCCTGTAGCATCTGAGCTGACTAGAAAAATGCTATCATGGCTTATTCATCAAAACATCAGTGCATATAAAACTGGTTTTGATTTAAAGCTGCAGTTCTGCTTCAGCTGAGTCGAGAATGTCCAACCAAATAATTATGATCTAAGACGTTTTGCTGATTTTACCATTTGAATAAATGGCAGTTATTACTGGCGGTCTTCTGTGACCGTCGGCCTCTGATCTGAGTCTAGAAACAGGCAGCCTGTTTGTACCACTGAGCTCTCACCTGAAGCGGTCAGCAAAGCTTGGGTCCGGTTTCTCTTCGAGTGACGCCTGAAGCGCTTATAGAAAATTAGCCTGGTGCAAATGTTTCTGTCCAACTCTAGATGAAGCCCTAGTTAGACTTAAACTACACGGGTGATTTTGTGAGTCTGACCTGTTGTGAGTCTTTATATAGTGGCAGAATTCTGAAGGAAGACTGCAGAATTAATATTTAAATACAAAAAGGTAGAAATGTCACCTTTTTGTCAGTTTTGAGGGCAAACCTTTAATTTATTGTTGAGTTGTGCCTGAATCCATGAACGTCTTCGTATTTAAATGGCTTTGACGACCAGACTTGTTTACTTTGCTGGTGGTCGGATCATAGACTACTTGATTGTACACATGCAAATGCTTTATTAGATCATTTCAACGTATTTTGTGTTGCAGTTTTACGGTCGCGCTGGTGGTGGCAGATGAGTGCAGCGTAATGTTGCTGTCGGTTATCTCCAGCAGTCGGTGTGAAGTTAAAACCTGAGAAACATTTTCTATTTTAGCTGGGCAAAAAAATGAAAAACTGATTTTATTTCTCTTAACGTGTACAGTCTATCTCCCTCTTAGTGCTTACATTTTCTAAGGACAATAGGTTGCCATTTTGCCTGATAGTTTTTAATCTGGGCTCTACAACATGACCCACCATTCAACCCCTCATCCAGGACAGCTTATGAAATACATAACCTGTTTATACACGACTTTAAACACCTGCTATGTCTTCCACTCCCAAATGTAAAGCATCACACAGCAGTTGTCAGAACCACTGAATGTAGTTACGGTGTGTGTCGTTGTGCTTGATACTCTGTACAGTGTTGTTTTTTTTTAATGCCTTCAGTGTTTGATGCAGAGCCATAAGGATGTGTGACCATATATGGGAGCGTTGGCCGAACAGACCTGGCTGTATGCTTGGTGTTTACCTGCCTCCAGGTGGTTCCAGTCACGAGCTCAAATCAGTTCTGGCTTATTTTGCCTTTGGGTTTTTTTATTTTTTATGATTATTTATTTTATTGTAACTGAATGGAAGGGGCAAGAAGATTGCAAAATGTAAAGCTGTTTTTAAATAAACACATTGGAATTATATTTGAGCAAAGTGTTTCTTTTCTTTTATGTCAACTCATAAAAATCACTGCCTGACCTTTGTTGTTTTTTTTATTTATTTTATTATTTGATTTTATTCAAATAAAATGCAAGTAACTCCCTACAAAGTTCAGTTCAGAGACATGATATTAATTCCAAAAAGAAATCAAAAGTTTTTTTGCTACTTGATGTCTGGACAGGAAGGATTTCTTATACAAACACAATTATGTCCAAACAAGACCAAAATATCCAACATGAAGAACAGAGAGAATTACACTACTTGTTTATTTATTTTTTAATCTGTTTGACTCTAATAACTCATCCATTTCAACAAATCAATGATTCAAAAATCCATACACAATCCAAGTGGATGACATGATGTATGAATTCATCACATTAAGTTCAGCTTTGTCTATTTATCCCCCTGATTCATAACAAACGTGGTCTGAAAAACATTTTAAAAAATTGTATAGAGAAACATAGTTCATATCCATTGAAATGAACAGATTCAAACCTTAATACTGAGCACGTATGTGGTGAGTTTTTCTTTAAGGGTGTGGACACTTATGCAACCATCACAAAGACAATAAAGCTTTATTGTCTTTGTCCATCTCAGTTATAAAAAAAAAAAACTCAGGTAAGTTTACAATTGTTATTTGGTGAAACTCTACATGTAAAACTTCTTAGTCGGCAGTTTTAAGGTTCAGTGAGCCAGCAACGTGACAAATGTAGTGTTTATGTGGAACTGACCCTTTAATAGTAGCTCCCCTTTGGCTCATTAAATGCTCCTGGCTCCAGGGTCAAAGTTCATCGGGACGCAAATCAACATTTCATGCAGGAAGTTGCAAGCTTCTTTCCCAGAGATATATCCAACTCTTCCCTAGTAATGTTTTATTTGATCATCTTTCTTTGTATGGTTTTCATTTACAGAGACGTTGTATAAACTGATTACACCTATCGCTGCTCCCAGCCTGATACTGAGGCTCATTTTCCCGGATGTCCAGATGTTTGACCGCTCTGCCCTTGAAGTCGGGTTATTAATCACTTTAATCAGCTCTCCATCTTATCAGCTGCACTTTGCCGCCTTCTTTTAGTCATTAATTAGAATAATATAAATAAGAACCCTGTGTAGCGAAGGCAGGACTCTGCTTTGTTCCTCGTGAAGAACGGTACTGGTTTTTGTTTTATGCACAAACAGAATGTTATTACTTAGAAATTTAATTGATATTATATATATATATATAATTTTTTTTTCTTAATCTCCATGCTTTCTGTTTTTAATTTTTTTTTTGCCATTGCAGATCTGCAGCAGTGAAGGGATCGGAACCCCAAACAGGACAAAATGACTAAACTACTCCTGGGTAAACCATCTTTATTCAGTCTTCAAGCCGATAAGCATTCAAACCAAGGACAGCAAAGAATGGATTTTATTGTGTGTTAAATATATACAGCTGTCAAGCTGCTGCTGTTGCTGCTCCTTCTTCTACTTACTCATTGTGATCATAATCATTATGTAAAGTCTGGATTATAGATTTGAACTGTTTAGGTGATCATTTAGTGCAGATAATAAGATAATATGGGGTTGGTACCTCAAACATTAAGAGCTTAGCAGCTGAGAAATAACCTAGCTTTCTTTTTAGTTATAGGTGTGTCCAAATATTGAGATAAAATAACATGGCAACATGAGAAATGTACTGGAACAAGACAGGTCATTGTGCACAACAATTATGTTTCATCTGTCTCTCTGCAATCAGAAAGAGCATCAGGTCTTGCTGTTTATTTTTTATTAAGATGTGACACTTTATTTTTGTCAGTAAAGTATAACCTATAATTACTATATTTGTGTTTGGGTCTTCATAATCGTCCTCTCTCTCTTTGTCTGATAGCCGCCGTGGGCTTTCTGGTCCTCGCACACATCGGTGAGTTTCAGCTGTAAAATAAATAATAAAGTTGCATTTTTTTTGGGACCAAATGCTGACCGTCTTTATGGCTCCTTTCCAAATGCCCTCAGCTTCCTCCAATAAGCTGGTGTGCCACATGACCAACTGGGCCCAGTACAGACCCAGCAGTGCTAAATTCACCCCGGACAACATTGACCCTTTCCTCTGCACCCATGTCATCTACACCCTGGCCACCATCAACAGCTTCAACCAGATCACTACCATTGAATGGAATGATCAAGAGATGTACGCCAGCCTTAACGGCCTGAAGAAATCGTAAGTGCAAAGCGACCAAGGGTGTAGGAATGAGTCTGTCATTGGGGGGACACATATCGGACACCTGACAGATCAATAAATGGCTTGAGCAGAAATGTCATAAACAATTGTACCATCAACACGTCAGTAACGCATTAATCTGGTCCCTTGTTTCAGAACATTGTGTCTAGAGTAGGCAACATTTCGACAAAGTTATCAGTAAAATTTATGGGGCACAAAATTAACTTAAAACATAATGGAATCCTGAAACGCCAAACGAGATAAAAAGGAAATGGTGGTAAATCTAATAGAAGTATGTAACTTACCCTTAAACCAGAATCAATTTTATTATCCAGAATTCTGGACTGCATACTGAAGAGGCAGTTCAGTGTTTTGATTCCGGCGTGTTGGAAAAAGACTCGTCTGAAAGTTGCAGAGCCATCAAAGACTGGAGTTTGACTCTCCTGATCTAAGGAAACCTAGCAGAGTTGGCCAAAGCATTGACTTGGAGCATGCACTCCTCCCACTTCCAACTTTTAGGAAAGAGACAGTGGCTTCCTTACCAGGCAGCCTGAGAGGGGTGTTATGGAAGAGACTCTGATGAATTGTTGAACCTTGCGGCCATGTCCCATGGGGGATTTTGTGGGGGAATACTGGAGTATGATGTATCTAGGATTGGAGAAACTTTTTAAATAATCTGGCATAAAGAACAGAATCTCAAGGCCCAGTTGTTCAGAGGTTGCTTATTTGATCAGTTTGCTCCTTTGGGAAATTTCCCTGGTGAAGAGCCAAAACTTATGTGAGAGATTACCTATCCCAGGTGACCAGGGAATCCTTTGGATTCCCCAAAATGAGTTGGGGGTGTCACGGAGGGGAGAGACACCAGGGATTCCCCCTGGACTTGATCCCATATAACCACATAGCAATGAATGGATGGATGGAAATGTTCCATTTTTCTAGCCCACTGCGAAGCTGTTTAAACTACATAGGCCTGGCATAATTATGACAGAAAATTTCTTTACTTGTTTTAAGGTTTACCCCATTTTCTGCCTGTCTTTGTCACTTAGCAACCCTGCACTGAAGACACTGCTGTCTGTCGGAGGCACTGTAAATGGAGTGAGCCCGTAAGTCCCAATTAATCAACACTTACTGTTAAATGCACTGAACGTTTCCTAAGTACTGAATCCTTATAGCAGATGCAAAATGTTTTTCTTTCAGATTCATTGCCATGGTTGGCAAACCAGAGACTCGACAAGCCTTCATCAAGTCAGCAATCAGCTTCCTGCGCACCCATAACTTTGACGGGCTGAATCTGGCCTGGGAGTATCCTGGACACAACGGCAGCCCACCGGAGGACAGGGAGAGGTTCACTCTGCTGGTCTCGGTGAGCAGAGGCTTCATCGATACCCCTTACAGCAACTTCTAATGTGCTGTTATCTATTATCTAACTTCTGCTTTGGAGAAGTTTGTCCTTAGTCCTTATGTAAGGTGGGATCATTCAGTCGTAAATGGAACAGTACATTAGATTTTTGCTTATTTTCAGTGTCAAAACAAAGATTCTCATTTCTAAATTGAAATCTCTTTGTGTCTGTCTGTCTGCGTACAGGAGCTGGCCAAGGCGTTCCAGGATGACGCCACAGAAAACAGGATGACAAGGCTGCTGCTTTCAGCCAACGTGGCCGGCTTCGTTTCAACCATTGACAAGGCATACGAAGTCAGCAAGATCGCATCGTAAGTTTCACAACCGAATCAATACTTGCATATTTGCACTAATTCAGTCTTGATTTTCTATTTTTGTAAAACCACTGTCTATACACATATTTACAAGAAGAAAAAATTGTATTTTAAAATATTTCTGTTCAAATTTTCTTCACTGAGATAAATCTGAGTCTGAAATAGTTTGAAATCGTTCATTGACCAAGGTTAACGGGATCAGCAGACAGCCACACAGTAGCCGCTCACAGGACCTAACTGTTAACAACAACCTCATTTTCCAGGTTTCTATGAATTTGGCCTTCATGTTATTCAAAAAATTCTGTTTCTATCTGTATTCCAACAGCCTCATGGACTTCATGAACATCATGAACTACGATTTCCATGGACACTGGGAGCCAATGACTGGACACAACAGCCCACTGTACCGCAGCTCCGTTGACGTCGGATCACAATTTCACTACAACATCGTAAGAAACTAGACCTCGATTCTCAATTGACTTATATTCAATCTACATTCAGGCTGAGTGAATATAGATTGAATAAAAATGTCACCAGTGCTTTAAAGTGCTATTTATTGTAAATATTGTTTTCTAAACTAAAGATCCTACTTTACTGTTGCTTGTCAACCCAGCCAGCCTTCTGGACAGCCTTCATCAAATTTGAGTGAATGTTTTATATCCACATTGTAAAACCTTTCACATTGTACTTTGAAACTATTTTTCCACAGAACTCCTCAGTGTCTCAATGGAGGTCTCTGGGGGCACCAGCGGAGAAGCTGCTCCTGGGTTTTCCAACATACGGCCGGACCTACCGTCTCAGCACGTCGGCAAACGGCCTGGGAGCTCCATCCAACGGCCCCGCAGAGGCTGGGCCCTACACCCGTACCGCTGGCTTCTGGGCCTACTACGAGGTACGGCTTCGGCATTAACGAACTCCTTTAACTTTATGGCACACGTCAGAAATAATTACGATAGTGAGAAAGTTTTGTAAATGCAGTGGATCAACAGTATACGTTGATCTACGTGTAAATGAGAAAAGACACATTTAGAGCAGAAAGTTGAGCAGAAAGTTTTGCCAAGTTTAGTTGTTTAC